GGGGGGAACATTAAAGAACTAGAGGAAAGTTGTATGTTTCATTGGTGCTACGCTGCACCCAGTCTCCTCCCCGTGACCCTTCTGTAAGGGGATGTCCAGTTGCCTACAGGTGGGCTTTGGGTCTCTACTCTGCACTCCACTTCATTCACAGTGATATGATTTTTTGTTCTTTAATGCCCGATACCTGATCCTGTCAACACCTCATGACCTATGGGATCAAATTGATGACAGCAGCAGGAAAAACATGAGATAGGAACCTGAGTTTATGTTAATGAGGGAGGAACAACTCAGAGAAGTAGACTAAGAATGAATGCACAAGTTGAAGAGTGTATTTGTGTCATTAAATTGTATGTGTTCCAGACAGTGTATGTTTTCCTGTGCAAATTTCACCTATCTCAAAATGCCTAAAAATGAACTCAGGAAAAACTAGAATGTATATTATACCTGAGTCAGGATTTTTTTTTCAATCCGAGTCTTAAGGTATAGTGATTGGAACACGGCAACAGAGGCAGGACATCAGAGTGCTTGTGCCAGCTTTGTCACATATATGTTTTGTGACTTTGAACAAGATATTTAATCTTTCTACGTTTATTTACTCATTTGCTAAATGGGTATAGTAATGTCTATTATATTTACACCCAAAGCATTGCTGGGAAATTAAACAGTATAACATGTAAAAGGACTTTGGAAAGTATAGCTCTGTACAAATATTATAAGATGAAACCTGTGTTCCCTTTGGTCTTCATGGTCTATTGGAAACCATTTTAGATGTACTTCTGTTTTAGATCTGTGACTACCTGATACTCAGCCCACAGTTTAACTCTGGCAAGACCACCATTGTGTGTAGAGGTCCAATTGTTCCTCTGAGGAGTAAATTTGATGATTATTCCATCTGATGATGGAACTGTAGTTTGTGGTTATATTTATGATGTGTTTTGAATCCTGTCGGGCTCAATGCTGGCTGTGTGGGATCTGATTTCTATAGGTGCCGATCTAGAGCAAGCAAGGAAAGAAGAAGAACAACAGATGTTGCAGGACGCCCGCCAGTGGCTCAACAGTGGGAAAATAGAAGATGTGAGGCAGGCTCGCTCAGGGGCCACAGCTCTCCATGTGGCTGCTGCCAAGGGCTACTCCGAGGTTCTCAGGTAGTATCCATTTACATCAATCAGAAATTTGGTCGACGGGGTGAAAATGAGTTGGGATTTGGAAGCAGGGCATGAATTAACTTTTCAATTATGGTGTGTTCTTTTTTTTTTTTTTACTTGTTTCCTCTCTGGTCTGGGAATCTCACGTATTGCTAGTATTCATCTATGGATGGTCTCTCTCCCTCTCCCACCATCCTTCTTCTCACCTACATGTATGATGTAAGACACAGTTGAAGTACACTGGCCTAGACCACCTTACAAGACCTCTTCCAACTCTGTGATTTATTATTGATGTTTCGATGAGTGGGAACCGACTCAATGGCAGCGCATTGAATTTTGGGCCTCTTTGGGCTTAGATCATTTCTTTGGGTTTATTATATTAATTTATATAAACCTTGAGTTTTCAATCGCCAGTTGAGGTAGGAAAGTCAAATTTATATGAGGGTTTTAGATTCTACCTAAAGGGACCCTGGTGATACAGCAGCTAAGTGCTTGGCTGCTGAACAAAAGATCAGTGGTTTGAACCCACCAGTCACCCCACAGGAGAAAGATGTGGAAGTCTCCTTCTGTAAAGAACTACAGCCTTGGAGACCCAATGGATCAGTTCTACTCTGTCCTATAGGGTCACTATGAATCAGAATCAGCTTGACAGCAGTGGGTTAATTTCATGTGTTCCATTTTTTCCTTCCATCTACATGTGCTTTATGTAGTGCTTAAGGGCTTAATGGTGACAGGCTTTCCCAAAGGAAAAGGTTGCTAAAAAGCATTGCAATTAGAGTTGTTGTTGGACTATTTCCATTTCTTCGTATTCCTCCAGCGATGGGTTTACGGGTTTCCAGAGGGTGTGGCACTCTGTTGGTACTCTCTTTCTGCCTGTGAATGATGTTCACAGCCTGCTCAGTTCTTAGAAGGTGTCTGGAGGCCCATGTTATAGATAGCCTCAACCAGCCATGTGCAGTTTGGGGCTCCAGGAGTTACCAGGCTCTAGGAGTTTCCACTTTCCTCTTTTGTGCACACAAGCTATGCTATAGTTGTATAGTTAATAAGAACCTATCACATATTTCTGTAAAGAGGGTGGTATGAGGGCTACAATAAACATACAGTGTGCTGGAGAGACTGGAATGTGAGTTGGTAGAGTACCCTAAGGAGGCTTGAGCTCTCATTTTGTTACTTCTTTCCTGCACTGACAAATGGGAAATACAGCTTGTGTTTGTTGTGTGACTTGGCTAATTGAATTAGACATTGGCTATTCTCAGGTATCAAAGACAATTCTTTTGACACATTCTTCTTTAATGGTCTGATATGATGTGTGTAGGAGATGCCATGTGGCCTTTTGTAGATGATGGGTGAGCATCATTTAAACTTGGTCCTCATAGTCAAACCTACAAAATGCATGCTGGACCCTAAAGGTCAAAGACAATTACAGCCCTCCTATGGCCTCCTGTACCAACATCTGAAATATCAATTGAGCGATGGTTTATTTGGTAGAAAACTAATAAAGAAGAGATAAACATGTTGTTTGGGGTTTTCTTCTTAGACTTTTAATTCAGGCTGGCTATGAACTCAATGTTCAGGATTACGATGGCTGGACCCCACTCCATGCTGCTGCACACTGGGGCGTGAAGGAGGCATGCTCCATCCTGGCGGAGGCACTCTGTGACATGGATATCAGGAACAAACTGGTTAGTGAGTGTGACCCTCGAAAAGGGCAAAGAGCTTGGAGACTGGGTCTCACACAGGCAGGGAAAGAGCCAGTCTAACTGTTCTGGGGAACTAGCCCTTCCTGATCGCAATGATGTGAGATCCCACCCCCCACCCCACCCCCATTTCTCAAGAGAGATTATGTTTGGTGTATGAAGTAAGCTCCCTTAGCCTAGTGTTCTCATCCTATTTAAGTTGAATGCTTGAAAACGGACAAAAAGGGAAGAAAAAAGAAAAAGTACTGGACAAACACGAGATTTTGCAGTCTAAGGCCGTTGTCTGTAGTGACGTGTGAAAGATTTCATGTTACTTTTCAATTCGAAGACTTTTATCAGCTGAGCTCCGTTCATATGCAATCAAGGACCCTGGCTGGATCTTTGAGGTTGGCTGGACATACTATCACCCCAATCTCTGTCGGACAGCTCAGAAGCCCTGGAACTCCAGTCTTCTGGTTTTCTAGGCATCTAGAGGCGGATCAGCTAATGCTCGTATCTGCCTCAGTTTTCTCGTTTCCTTTTCCAACTAGACGTCAGACTCATTAACTATGCTGACGTGTCTTCAACGAGATGGCCTCCCTATCTGCCCTTCCTCACTTACAGGAAGATTATTTCCCTGACGTAATCTTTAATGCACAGGCTCCTTATTGACGATCCTGGAACAATTAAGACCATTTCAGAACAAGTGCGTGCAAGAATTTCAATTTATTACTTGCCAAGAGGCAATAAGCCATAGAAATGGGTGGTGATGTCTTCAACCGTGTTTTGCAAAATAGAAAATTCTATATTTAAGGGCTTTGCTCCTTCATGTTGCTTCTTCTGTGCTCGATAAAGGCCTTCTCTCCAGGTTGGGCAGATTAGTCAGAGAAGCAGCTGTCGCTGGAGCCAAAGGCAGAAAGGGACTATTTACCTGATAAAAGACAGTCCCTTGAGTAGCGCTCATTTTCTGTCGGTCACGGTGCCTCCCTTTTCCCTGCCAGGGCCAGACCCCGTTTGACGTGGCTGATGAGGGCCTCGTGGAGCACTTGGAGCTGCTGCAGAAGCAGCAGAGTGTGGTGAGTCTCTGTCCACCCCAATTATCCGACTCATTTGCTTGAGCTGTGTCTGCCGAGAGCTGACGTGACAGATCTGCAGTCCAGAGATCATCGTTGTTCCCTTCAGGAATGAGCCAACAGTCTAGCTGAAGAAAATCTCTCAGAAACCATTGCTATTGAAGTTTACTCATCATAGGATAGCATTCATGTAGCTAAGGGTTAAAAGAAAGCAAAGAACCACCTCCCTATTAATGACACTTTAGTAAATGCTTCTGATATGTTCAGCTCAGAGTTTTTCTTAAATAAGGGCTACCAGAATGGAGGATACTAAATAGCTTTTTTTCTTATTAAAAGTATCGCTTTATTAAAGTACATTGGTGAGAGAGAATACATTTCTTACTTTAAAAACCTACAAAAGCAAAGCTGTTATATGGTATTGGACGGTACTTGCTCAGTGCCTCGTAGTTATTCCAGATCTGTCCAACATTCAGAATTCAGCCTCCCTCCTCACCCCTATTCTGAATTCTTTATTCTCTGTTTGCATATGGCGTTCTGATTAGTGCTGGACAAGAAAATGATAGAAACACGGAAGCCATGTGTGCAGAATGGAAAAACCCATCCAGGATGCAGATGGACAGTGATAATGGATAGTTTTCTATTTCTAAGGAAGACAGAATGAGCCCTAGTGATGCTTTGAGTTAAGCATTGGACTGTTAAGTGCAAGGCCAGCAGTTCAAATACACTCTAAGGGAGAAATGCGAGGCTGTGTGCTTCCATAAAGATTTACAGTCTCAGAAACCCTCATGAACAGTTCTACTCCATTTTATAGGGCTGCTGTGAGTCAGAATTGACTGGACAGCAAGGGAAGGCCTTGGTTTAGCTAGAGGACTATGGGTATTCTGGGCAAGGAAGATAAAGACAAATGACATTCGGGGCTTGAGAATTTCCTGGGTTAACGGTGTGGTGGTGGTGGTGGTGGGGAATCATTGACTTGCTTTTTTACCATTGCCATGTATTGTAGCTCAGGGCTTGTGAACTAAGATTTAGGGCAAATGTGGGAAACTTAGAGGAGAAACTATATAGCTCAACAATGGGACTCGTCAATCATATCGAGTCTCATGTGTGCTCAGCATCACTGGGGCTGGTGAAGTGAAGGTCCTTGTACTTCAAGGCTCGGTGGGAAAATCCCACAGGCAATGCTCAGACAGAAACAACGTACAGTGCATGTTCTTTTCACTAAAGGTAGGAAATCTACTACTTTCCAAGTACAGTGTCAGTGCTCTTATTTAGCAAAACAGCCTTTTAAATACAAGATGTTTAATTTGCATAGGTTCTTTTTCAGCTTGTAAATTCTGAAATCATTTTTAGACTTATACAGAAGGGCTAGTGCTACATAGTTCAGAGTTCTCGTGTGTCCTTTGCCCTGCCTAGATTTCTACATGTAAATGCCATCTTTACTAACTATTATTTCTACCCTAATGGGAATGGAGTTTATCTTTGTCTCTGTATAACTTAGTGGTTCAGGGGTATAAGTACATTTTTGTCTAGGGTATGCATCAAATACCATACAATCTTTTCCCTGAGGGCTTATTTCCCATTCATTCTTTCCTTTAGAACTAATGCCAACTTATTTCAGGATCCTGATGATTTCTTTCAAAGTTCCTTTTAGCTTTTTATCCTTCAGAAGCTAAACTCTGTTAGAAAATTGGGTTAGAAAAAAAAAAGAAAGAAAATTGGGTTAGGCTGTTTGGTATGGGGAGTTTTATTGAATCTCTAACCTCATGCTTTTCCTATGCTACCTTGGTGAGGGTTCTTCTCTTACATTATCTTCTAATGAGACCCAACTGCCGTGTTTCTCTTTGTCTCAGTGCCCGAGCCTTTGCTGTTAGTTCTGTCTCCTTCAGACTGACAGTACCAATTTCCTTCTACCCATTATTGCCGTTTGTTTAAAAAAAAAGTCATCTTCCCTTTCCTCTGTTTTCTCAATTTCCAGCTTCGAAGTGAAAAAGAGACACGGAATAAACTCATTGAGGCAGACCTGAACAGCAAATTACAGAGTGGACTCTTTAAGAAGTAAGACAGTTGGAGCTTGAAAAATGGGATGAGCTCTGTTATGTGGGAGGGTGTGGACATGTGAAGCACTTAACTTGGAGACTTTTGTAGTTAGAAACTTGGCTAAATAATCTTTAAACACATGGAAATGATTGAGGACCAAGGGAGAGGGTTAACTCTTGGAGTAGGTAACACTGGGGACAAGTGAAAATGTCTTAAACTTAGAACTGAAACTGTGGGGCCAGTTTTCTCTTTTCCTAGCTTAGGATTCTCAGACGCAACTGCTTTCCATACTATACCATAAGTTCTGTGAGTTCAGGGACCGGTCTGCTATGTTTATCACTACACCCACCTTGGTCTTTGGTATGGAATAGTATGCAGGAAATATTTTTTAAATGCATCTCAAAACTATTTACATGCCCCATCATCATCAAGGTGCACAGCTCTCTCGCTCTCTCTCCCTCACTTTCTTTCGTGTGTGTGTGTGTGTGTGTGTGTGTGTGTGTGTGTGTCAAGCCAAATTTCCTTAAGTGATACTCTAAAATCAAAGTTTGATTTCAGTCTGTAAAAATCCAAGTATTCAGAAGGATAGAGTTACAAAGAAGGACTTGAATATATTTTTCTTCAGCGGTTCTCAACCTGTGGGTTGCGACCCCTTTGGTGGTTGAATGACCCTTTCATAGTGTCGCCTGATTCATAACAGTAGCAAAATTACAGTGATGAAGTAGCAACGAAAATAATTTTATGGTTGGGGGGTCACCACCACATGAGGAACTGTATTAAAGGGTCGCAACATTAGGAAGTTTGAGAACCACTGCACTTATTATTCCTACAGAAGGTATGTAGGCTCCTTCTCCTTAGCTGTGGGTGTCATTTCTGAATCTCATTCAGACTGCTATCTTTATTCTAGCAAGGAGAAGATGCTCTATGAGGAGGAGACACCCAAATCCCAAAAAATGGAGGAAGAAAACAAGGAATCCAGCAGCTCCAGCTCAGAGGAGGAAGAAGGTGAAGATGAAGCTTCTGAGTCAGAAACTGAAAAGGAGGCAGGTAATGCAAAGATGTTCATAGCAAAGACCCCTCCATTTCCATACTCTGAGGACATTACTACCTGCCAAGAGAGCTAACCAGGCCTCAGAGCGTTCCAAAAAAACCTTTAAAAGGGGCGGGAACCGATTACAAGGATCTACATATAACCACCTCCCTGGGGGACGAACAACAGAAAAGTGGGTGAAGGGAGACATCTGACAGTGTAAGATATGACAAAATAGTAATTTATAAATTATCAAGGGTTCATGAGGGAGGGGAGAGCGGGGAGGGGAAAAATGAGGAGCTGATGCCAGGGGCTTAAGTGGAGAGCAAATGTCTTGAAAATGATGAGGGTAATGAATGTACAAATGTGCTTTACACAATTGATGGGTGTATGGATTGTGATAAGAGTTGTATGAGCCCCTAATAAAATGATTAAAAAAAAGTTTTCAAAGATGAAATATAAAATTGCTATTTTAAACTTGTATAAGTTCCGGGGTATATTAGACTGTATTTACCAGTTCCTATATAGCTATATGGGGTATAAATTGAGTGACTGTTTCTAAGTAATAATTCACAAAGAATTATTTTTTTAGTTTATTTTTTATTAATCATTTTATTGGGAGCTCTTACAGATATTACAACAATCTGTAATTCAATTAGATCAAGCACAATTGTACAAGTGCTGCCATCATCAGTTTCAAAACAGTTTCTTTCTTCTTGAACTCTTTTATATCAGCTCCCGTTTATCCCCTCCCTCCCCCACCTTACCCCCCAGGAACCCTTGTTATTATATATTATTATTATTATTATTGCCATATCTTACACCATCCATTGTATCTGTTCACCTACAATTCTGTTTTTCGTTCCCCCTCCAGTGGGGTTATGCAGTCATCATTGCTGTCAGCTTCCCCTCCTCCCACCCCCTCTTCCCTTATGCTCAGGGAATCATTACTCCCCTTACTGTATCTGAATGGTTATCTATCTTGGCTTTTAACACAAAGAATTCTTGATGGGGGAGCCAACTATCCTGGCCTTGGGTTGGCTTGGCATAGAGACCGAGTTCCAAAAGTCAGTGTGCTGAGAAGCGGAGGAGGTGAAATCTTGTATAGGCACTTTTGGTACAATACCTTTAACCAACTGTTGAAATTGGCATTTATTCTCAGGTTTGTTTAATTCCCTAAAGAGAATCTTAACTTTGTTTTTTGCCCTCATTATGTGAAACTCCTTTAGTTCCTGAGTAGAGGACTGAGGTAGTAGCAAAATCATGCTTGTTTGCATAGCTATTAGAGATAAGATACTTACCATATGAGCTTCTTAACTTTGTTATATGGCAAGATAGGAACTCCCTTCACCCTTCATGAGGTCGTAAACATGGCCAGGTCAACAAGCCCCAAAGTAGCCCAGAGGTTTTGGCATATAGCCAGGCCAACACCGAGAAAAGAAATACTGGGTATTTCTAAATAATGGCTCAGTCAAGCAATTTTCATGGATAATTGGAAGTGGATGATAAACTGAGATTTTACAGTAGGCATACCTTGTATTTACGGGCATATTATTCCTCCAGGGTTGAGTCCATGAGAAGATGAAGTGTTTCTAGCTAGAAGACCAAGTCAGAGGGGGGAAAGGTCACACATTAAGTTTATAATGGAGTCTTGTGTTTTCCTCTGTACTCTACCATAGCTGACCCAGCTATAATGAAGATACTTAATCCCCTCTGTTGTCTGAGTCCTCAATCCTGATGAGGTCTGGCTTTGCTGACACAATTTCTCCCAATTATGGAAAAAAACGTCCCTTCTTTCTTCACGTCTCATTCGATCTCTGAGGCACATTGAGTGTCACCAAGGGAAGATAGAGACCCTCACTAAGTTTACAATAAAGGCGTTGACCTTACTCATTGAAACTCAATACACATTATTAAGCAGGCACCATATGTTCCAGAATTACTAGTATACTAGCGATCAACATGTTAAAATATGTACTCTTTTAGCATGTTAAATATTTATTGAGTGCTTACGTGTCCTAGGGAGTCTCTGGGTGGTATGGTTGTGCCCGGCTGCTAAATAAAAGGTTGGTGGTTCAGGTCTACCCAGATGCACCTCAGAAGAAAGGTCTCGTAATCTAATCCCTAAAACACCAGCCATTGTAAACCCTGTGGAGCACAGTTCTCCTTGACACACAGCAGGTCTCATGAGTCAGAATTAACTCACTGACCGTTGGTAGTTGGTGCATGTCCTAGGTTTGAAGTGCTGTCTGAAATTAATATCTGAGCTTGCTTCATGATAATTCCCTTCGTAAGCTATCAAGGCATCAGAAGGTGGATGGGAGCTGATACCAAGGGCTCAAGTAGGAAGAAAATGTTTGGGAAATGATGATGGAAACATATGTACAAGTATGCTTAATGCAATTGAATTATGGATTGTTGTAAGATCTGTAAGATTCCCCCAATAAAATGATTAGTAATAATAATAAAAGAAGATGGAGGAGGATGGGAGGGAGCTTCCTGTACCTGTGTAATTGCTCCCTCAGGTCTGTTGTTCCCTGCTGCCCATCTCCATGGTGCTATTGGAGTAGAACCCCTTAGACTTAAAGTAAACATTTTCTGAATCAGTTGTCTACTGCTGTGTAACAAGTCATCCCAACATTTAGTGCTTAAAACAACTATGCACTTAGATGCACCCAATTCTGTGGGCTGGTGATTTGGGAAGGGCTCAGCCAGGATGACCTGTCTCTGCTCTACAAGGCACAGCTGGGTTTTGGTGATGGCCAGGAGGGGCTGGAAATGGACTAAGGGCAAGCAGACCATGGGTCTCATCTTCAAGTAGGTTGCCCCCTGCTTGCTCACATGGTGGGTGGATTCTGAAAGCATTATGCAGTAAATGGCAACGGAGATGGACATATCTGACTGCTGGCTTCCCTATTGCCATGAGATAAGGGTCAGACAAGCTGTATGGTCCATCCTCCCTTACCTATTTTGACACCACCCTTTCCTTCCATGCCACTCTATCTGTGCTGGGTTTAGTAATTCATCGCAATGGCCACACACAACTCAAAGCCAGTACTCACAGTTACGGGGTTTATTAGGGAAGTTAATAGGATCAGCAAACAATGAGGGTACAGTCTTTGGTCTCTCCAGCCACAAGCCAAGTCTCAGCCTCTCAGCAAAGTGGTAACCAAGTCTCTCTCTGGTTCTGAGTCTCAGCAACATGGTCCCTTGGTCTTTGCTTCTATAGGCCAGGAAGACAGTTAACAATCTCAGGACAGATCAAGAAAAGGTACCCCAGTAGTCTCACTGCTGATCCTCTGAGGCTCCATGCCACAGTTTGTGCATATGTGGTCTTGGAGGGCTCTCACACTTCAGACAGACCTTGAACGTGCTCTTCCAGGGTCCTGGGGGTTCTCTGTCTTCTGCTTTAAAGATGGCTCACTCTTCTAGCCAGTGGGTTGGTAATGAAAACTGACCAATCCCCTCTGTTAGTGTTGCACATAACCCTGTTTGCATAGTTCCACCCAGTCATTTGGTGGAAGTTACAGGGAGTTGGGTAGAAGAGCCATATTAAATTTCACTCTACCCCACCTTGAAAGAGGGCAGGGGTGATGTGCATCAACACACTTCAAACGACATGGCTAATATCCCAGTGGCCACTGCAAGCCACATGGCCAAGCTCAGCATCTATGTATAAGGATGTGGATTCAGGGAGGCATGATTCATTCAGGGCTAATACTGTAGCACCCTATCACACTGGACTAGGAGGTGCTTAAGGATAGATATTTCACATATTTAAAGAATGCCTTGAGTAATCACCCCTCCCCACCCCACCCTACCTACCTCCGAAAAATCCAAACCACTCATTGTCATCAAGTTGATGCCAACTCATAGCCACCCTATAGGACAGGGCAGAACTGCTCCTGTGAGTTTCTGAGCCTGTAACTCTTCAAGGGATTAGGAAGCTTTGTCTTTCTACCGAGGAGCACTTGGTGGTTTCAAACTGCTGACCTTGTGGATAGCAACCCTGTATGGTAACCCTGGTGGTAACCACTACACCACCAGGGCTCCGACAAAAATTAAAAACTTGAACAATAGTATTCTATTAGGGACTAACTATGTCCAGGCATTGAGCTATGCAATTTAGAAACATTATTTCTAAGTTTTATGACTTAGAAGACAAGAATTAAAATCTCTGATTAATCAGTGAGAAAATAGAGGTTCAAATATGTTAAGAAGCTCATTCAATGTCATACACTTAGAATGTGCCTTAAAATTGTCACGTAATTCATGGATGGGCTACTCTTTGGGGCTCCACCTCATTACAGATAGGCCCTGTGCTGCTTATTGGGTCCACAGCAGTAAACAAGACAAAGTTTCTACTGGATGACCCTGCTCCTATTTATGTTACATGCATTTAGTTACTGAAATTCTGAAACTTAACTTGCAACTTCTTTGTAATCCTTTTTACCTTTATTTCCTATTGTAACCTCAAGAACGCCCATACTTAAATCAGGCCTTGACCTTTCACTTACCTCACTTACACAGATGTGAGTATTTTGATTTATGAGTTATGCCCTCTCTTCCTCCTCCATCTGCTAATCAGCATTTATCTTCCATTTTCCTCATCCTCTCCCTCAGAGGATCTGTCTCTTCTCCAGACTCCTACAGTACTTGCTAATCTGAACCAACCCATTTCTTACTGTTACTATTATGTACCTTATGTCTTTCTTTCGACTGGAATTACCTAGACAGCAAGGCCTGTCTTTAACACTTTTTCTAATTTTTCTACCCAGCTTCCCACCAAACAGTATAGTTCTTAATATGTAGTTAGTGACAAAGTTTATACATGATACGACTACAAAGTGTGGAGAATGATTTCAGCTCTCCATTTGGGAACTAGAGTTGGAGCCTACCAAGTCATATCAGTGAATTTACTTTACCACTGTCAACGGTTGATCGAAGTTTTATCTTAGTTTGAGTCCAAGCTTTTACATGGCTTTGCTAATCTGTTTTGACAACAGGTGAACCTTTCTTTTAGCAAAAAAGCACATTCAAAAAGAAAGTTTTTATACCTGTACATGTTGCTTTTCTTGTCTTAAATAACAGATAAAAAGCCAGAAGTCATTGTCAACCATTCCAACTCTGAAAACAAGCGTAGTGTCACAGAGCAAGTACCAACACCAGCTCAGACTACCTTCCCTGCCTCTTCGAGGAAAGTGAGTACTTTGGCATTAATATGGGTATTGTATTTCTCCCTAATGCAATAGTTCAAAAGCCTTTAAAGATTACGTTTTTAGGAAAAACTATAAAACCATCATGAAATTAATTTGGCTACAATATATATTTAAAAATTTTAAAGATGGCATAGGATATAATGGTCTGTGGCTAAAGAGATTTTGTTATTAGCTTATTTTTTTCACATCCAAAGTTAAGGTAACTATTCGTATACCTAAAGTTCTGATGGTGGTAGGAGGATATCTAGCATTCGCATTAATTGTTTTGATGACTGTTCCCCTTCTTTGCGGCTCCTTTAAAATGTTACTTTCATGAATAAAAGCTTTATAATGGGTAGAGAGCATAGGTAGAAAGAATTTTTTTGTAATACCAGAGACCCCCATCCACTCGCAACTCTGCCCAGGCCTCTGAGAATCTGTAGGCTTCTAGTCACTGAGACAGAGCTGAACGATGACTCTGCTCTACATGGTGTAAAACTGCTATGCAGGTCAAAATTTTATCTCAGTCTTTGGTAAAGCTCTATGGCTTTGATAAATTGACTTATGGAGCTTCTCAGTACCTGATGGAGTGGAGAGATGATGGTATGGTTACAGAAGGAACAAAAGATTGGCTATTAACTTATTCCCAAGATCATCATTGTCGGTCTGTAAAGAGGACTCAAATAGAATACGACCCTCACTCATAATTCTATCATTTAGTTGTACCTCATTTCAGTGTGTTGTGACTAGATTTCTGCTTTTTAAAAAGGTAATATTAATTTTTTAAATGCACATATACTTACTCTACCATGCTTAAATAATGCTGGGCAAAGTGTTTTTCTCCTTAGACTCAGAATGGCTTCTAAAGATTGACATGATTGAGTCATTAGAGTGGGAAGAAGCCAGGATGTAAATTTATAAATTCAGATAACTAATGGAAAGAGAAAACCTGAGTGTGAATTGCAAACTAGTGATTGCTTTTATTGTTTTCACTGTACATCATAGAAAAAATAGCCTGATGTCAAGAGAAAGACCAAAGCCTTCTACAGAGGCCCCTCCAACCCCAAGAAGGGACTGTTGATTGATGTTCTAAAGACCATTTCTACTCTGCATTAGGCTGGGTTCTCTAGAGAAGCAAACCAGTGAAGCTTATATGTGTATGTATAGAGAGATTTATATCAAGGAAATGGCTTACACAGCAGTGGAGGTCTGACCCAAGTTCATGGGTCAGATGTCAGGTAGAGGCATCTCTTGACTCACATAGTTATGGAGACTGATCAGACAGCAGGCTTCTGACTGCAGAGGTGAATGAGTCCAAGGTTAGCAGGTAATACCTCAGGTCATTGGCTCATGTCCAACTGGAGGTCAGCTGATGAACCAGGGCCAGGATCCAGGCCCAGCCAAAAGCAAGCAAACTTTCCCACAGCATCCACTTATATTGGAAGCAGGCCACATCTCCAAAGAAATGCCCTTTCAGTTGATTGACTGCTCATAGCAGATCTCATCATGGGGGATTACTGCATCTTAACTGCAAAACCACTCAGAAGCCTGGCCCAGCCAAGTTGACACAAAATCATAACGGCTGCATACCCCAAGCAAGTCTTTGACCTAATACAGGTCAAAGACTTTTTGTATCTGTGGCAAAACAAGATACTGTCTATACTCGTGTATAAACTGAGTTTTCCAGCACATTTTAAAATGCAGTTTTTGTGGTAAAATTAGGTGCCTCGACTGATATTTGGGTCTGCTTATACTCGAGTATATATGGTAATTAATGATACTGTGTAGTAAGCTTTCCATAAAGCTATCTTTTGTAATATTAAGGTTTTTTTCTCTTTCTCTTTTAAAAATGAAATGATGATGATAACAATAGTAATCACTTTTTGGAAGTTTTCATTTGGCAAGATAAGAATAGTAATCTTTAACCTCATTTTTTTTTCTTCCTATTTTAAATTTTCCTAGTCGGTGGAATCAGAGCTCTTGGATTATCTTAGATAAATTAGTTTCGTAAAACTAAAAATTAGAAATTAAATAATTTTTAAAATTAAAAAAAAAATAAAACAACAGCTGAGAATTAGAATTTGAGTGGAATGACCTTTAGTATATTTATTGGTATTGACCTAAATCAGCTTATCACAATCTTATCACATAGCCTAAAACATACTTACACATATCTAGCTCAGGGTATTTGTTCCAGTCTCCACATATAAGGAAGGACTGAGCTCATTATTAAGGAGCTGTGGTGGTGCAGTGGGTAAGCACTTCACTGCGAACCCAGAGTCCTCATTTTGAACCTACTAAGAGCGCCACAAGAGAATAGACCTGGCAATCTGCTCCCGTAAATATTACAGCCTAGAGAAGCCTATGGGGCAGTTCTACCCTTTCCTGCAGTGCCACTAGGCGTTGGAGATGGGCTTGATTGCACACAGTAATAGCAATACTCATTGATTACCATCTGAGAAATAAGCACGTTTTGAGATATGAAGTGTCTTTTTTTTTTTCTAGTTACATAGCGAGTGAAGGGCTAGTACTAGAACCCAGATCTTCTGGTGCTATACGTCAGCACCACTGCCTAAGGAGAGCAAATACAGTTTAATTTCTTGTAGCAACTGGGTCAGATAGGTGCACTATTTAAGAATCTGAGGCTGTTTCTGGCTCTGGGAGAACGGAGCCTTGAGACGTTATGAGCATCTGCCCGGTGAGGAAGGGCACATTGCCAGCAAGTCTGCCATGCTTTTGCTCTCCTTGTCTTGAGTGCCGCATGTTGCCTCATTGAGCTTCCTTAAGTGTAGAAAAGGCAGATTGACTGAAAAGACTCACCAGGGCCTTTCTTTTCCTTTTCTTTGCGTCTTCCCTCATAGTTCTCCTCCAGCCTTTTTAGCAAGCCAGAAGAGCCCAAAGATGAGTCTCCTTCTTCCTGGAGACTGGGACTCCGGAAAACTGGCAGCCACAACATGCTGAGTGAGGTGGCCAATTCCAGGGAGGCCCTAAGAGAGCGAGGCTCCTCCATCTACCGCTCATCATCGAGCCCTCGGATTTCCGCTTTGCTGGACAACAAAGATAAGGTACGTTGGGGCCGGGTATGGGAAATTCCAACAATTTCCATCTATGAAAATTAACCTTTGGATGGGGCATGAAAATATTTTCTAGTGTTAAGTTGATGCTAGAAGTACAAAGGGAGACAGGTATATTGATATTTTAATAAAGTATGCTTTTGGGTGGGTTGCTGTTCTTTATATTAAAAGCTCTTCCATCTGGCTTACCTTATGTTCACTCTTCCTTACCCTCCTTGTTTCTTACCCAGAAGGGGATAAAAGGGATCAGAAGCATAAGAAGCTGGATATGCCCTAAGAGGTTCTTCTGAACCAATACAAAAAACTCAGCCCTTTGATGTGTAGAAGCACAGCTCCTTAATGAAGCTCAGACGAATGAGCACTTAGGAAAAACAAAAACGAAACAAAAACCCCTCAGTTATTTCGTGAGTTGAAGTACAAACAGGATAACCTCACAAACAGCTTGTGCACATACACAAGATGAATACATTTTTATTTTCTCACTCGGGGTTTCCAAATTTCCTAGAACTCACCTACCTCACGTTCCCTGGGTTCAGGTCTTCCTTCTCTGCGTAGCCATCGTGTTTGATAACGTGTTTCTGCAGACTGCTAGCGGCTTATTGGTTGGATTAGCTCTCTCTGTAGGGTCTTTGTTGTGTATGCCCCCAAGCAAGCTGCATTTCAAGAAAAAGATAGTCTGGGAGTGAATAAGCCTTAGTTCATCGAGACATTTAGAGTTGCTTTCTCTGAGGCTTCTCAAAAATCCCCTCTTTCATAGCAGAATTGGTATTGAATTCAGAAATTGTATAGGGCATATTAGGTTCTGCTTTTTGACCTCTGAAGTTTTATGTTATGTCAGTATTGTACCTACCCTCATTACTTGTTTTGATTTTACAGGAGAGAGAAAACAAAAGCTATTTTAGTTCACTTGCACCCCGGAGGCTCAACAGCACAGGTGACAATGAAGAAAAGGAGAACAGGTAATCCTAATGCAGGCCGCAAATGGCCCATTTTAACTTAACTGGGCAAAGAGATCTCCTGGCCATTACTCCTTTGTCCCTTTCCATAGATGGCCATATCACACTCAGAATTGTTCATTTCTTCTGCATAGGACATCTTCCAGCTCTTATCTCCTTGTTTTGCCAGTTCTTCAACCTTTAAATTCTAACTCCAGCTTAGAATTTCTGTTTTTAGGAAGTCTTCCTGGCCCTTCCAAACTATAGTTTTAGTAAAGTTGTGGCTCTATAGAGCTCTGGTCTAGTTCTCTCTGGTTTGTCAGTACCTCTAGTGCCTCCTACATAGTGAAAACGTTTAAAAATATATTTTATTTAATTGAATTGGTCAATTTCTAACTTATAAATGGGTAAAATGTAAATTCTTCATCATCGGTGTAAAGGAACATAAAATTTTGAAATGTTGCTATATTTCAGAGCAGAACATGAACCAGACCCTTGTTTCACAAAAGGTGGTCCTCACACCAGCAGTACCAGTGTCAAGTGGGAGCTTCTTTAGCATTACAGCCCCCGAGACCTGCTGATTCTACTGTGAATCTACACAAGACTCCCCCGATGATCTTAATGCACAGAAAAGCTTAAGGACTGCCGTAAAGAGCCTTATGAAACATGGAGGCCCATAGTTTTTCAGCAAAGACCCCGAATTACCAATCATGGGCCAAGAGTCCTTCCTGGATGCCTTTTTATCTACACTGCTAGAGAGGCAAGTCCTTCCCTTCCCCCTTCAATAGTAACCTCTCTTCCTGGGAACAGACTTCCTCATCTCCCCCACGACTCCCTTCTTGGCTTAACTGATGAGGTTTTTTAAAAGAGGAGCACCAAACAATGACTTCTTGTTACAAAAGGGCTAGGGACCTGTGGCATCGGTAATTTGGTAATTTGATTAGTTGATAAAGGAAGACAGATAGAACTACTCCTCTTCTGTCTACCCAGATAGCAAGTATATAAAACAGAAAATCACCTGGACAGTGTGTTTCTTTAGCCATGTTAACAGCTTGCCTGTCTGGCTCTTCTCTGCCAGTTCACATGGTATCGTGGACAAAAACTGATGGTAGGAATCAGCGTGGTGTTATTTGTTCGCATGTTTGTTTTCTGCCTCACAGGGAATCGGCTGTTAATCTAGTGAGGAGTGGCTCCTATACCCGGCCGTCATGGAGGGATGACGCAAAGGGAAATGAAACCCCACAGACAATTGCTCCTTCCACTTACGTATCAACATACTTGAAAAGGTACCAGGTTCAAAGGGGTGGGACATGACTTTTTCTTTACTCTGGCTTTGGGAATATGGGTAATTGCATGCCTTTTTATATCCAATTAGCACCATAAAAATGAATCGAGAAGTGAATCATTTTTATATTTCTTAAGATTACCACCCTGACTAATTTAATATTAAAATTAATTTATTCTCTGAACTGAATTATAGTAAGCTACTTTCCACTTCTCACCATGGATCTGAATGTGTACTCCATTCTCTCAGTCCTATTAAAATCTTCCACCAGAAATGACTTCTAGTAATCTCTGGGCAGGACTGATTTTAAATCATCCTTGTCTAGTAACTGGCTCTCTTTTTTCTAAAATAAGAATAGTTCTTGTCTGAAACTTTATTTTTGGAGCGAGGGAAAAGGGAGGGTCATGCTAGGGTGGTGAGGGTTGGGAAAATGGGGATAGTTTTGTATTACATAAGAAGTTTCATAATGACACCTGTTAATTTAGGGACTTGAGTCTTTTTTTTTTTATGACTTTAATGGCCCTCAGATCCATCAAGATGTGAAACTCGCAAGTTTGGTGCAGAGAAGGTACATGGGTCTCTTTCCCCTTTCTCACCTATATTTCCTTTACTGCAGTCATTTCCTTTGCCATTGACTAGCCAGACACCAAAGCACCTTTGCCAGAGCCATTGAGCTACAGGATAGACTTAATTAATATTTTAATATGAACTTTGGTGCTGATGTGGAAATATCTGAATTTCATGGCTTACTTTGAATTCCTTCTTCATTTCCACCTACTTAACCTCTCCAACTGCTTCTTCATGCCATAGCCTTCATCGTTAGGTTTTTAAGATAGCTGAGTGGCGACCATGGACGCAGGCATGGCTATAGACTGTATGAGCAGATTAGTTGTTAGTGTTAACTACAGTGTTCTTCATTTCTACAGTTATATTCTACAAGGGAGCTTCAAAAGCTCATGGGAATAGCATTTCCCAAAAAACCTTTTGATGCCCCCTCAAAAAAACGTGCCCAATTTTGAAAGTATGCAAGTACAGTTGAGTGCCCTCATGGAAGCTTTGTTCTACAAATTGTGTGTTTTTAGCATAATGAGATTGTCACTTGTTTATCTTAAAGGCCAAGGCTTCGGTCTACTAAATATGCTCTTATTCTGTATAAATGAAACCAACACCAAGAAACCTTTTCTAAGAGAGAAAGCTGCTACTTGTATTTTAGGCATAGTTACTTTACCATGTGGTTATTGACTTTCATGATCCAAATCACCTGTGACATGGGTTGGATGAGTGGGTTTAGTTTGATAGATACAGTGCAGCATGGTTGCAATGAACAGAGAGGGAAAGGGCTTCCCCTGTAGAGGGTGGAAAGCATTCTGAATTCTATGACTACTTGAGAAAGTATGTACAACTTACTTCATACCAAGGGTTTCTATAGCTCTTCTTCTCTCATAGCCCTAACATACGTTTTGATTTTGCAAAATCCTATTTTATGGTCAAGATGAAACAATCACATGCAATTGCCATTTGAAATAGAAAGCGTGAGTAGAAATGTGTCAATCTCAGTCTGTGCCAAACCATGGCATTCTTTCCATTTTATAGTTCATCGCTTGTCTCTAGGGAATTCCTTTCACATGGCCCGGCAAACTCCTTCTTTCCCTAAGAAGACCTGTAGTCTTTTTTTGGTTCACTTCTTCAAATGTGTCATTATTCTTACAAAAGAATATGTTTAAATTATAACCCAAATGATTTATGGTTGCACTTGGGATCATTCTCAACTGTCGTCAATTGAAAAAAAGTTGTTCTTCGAGTTGGGCTGTTCGAAACCAACATCCCTTTGCAGGAGAAAGATAAGCCTTTCCAATCCCATAAAGAGCTAGTCTTGGACAGCCTCAGGGACAGTTCTACTCTGTCTTGTAGGGTCATTCTGAGTCAGGATTGAGTCAGAGGCAGTCTTAAAAACTTTAAATCCTGTTTTGCTTTAGGTTAAGTAATTGCAGTTTCCAAAGTGAAGTCATTTTTTTGCACAGGACTCCTTTGCTCTCCTGCACTTTTTAATTTAAAATCTCTACTCTGAAACTTCCTGCAAATCTGTGGTCTTACTTTAGCTTTTTCAATGCTACTTTCTATATCAAGGATACAGTTGGGGGTGCATGGATTTTTGCCTTGGGGTTTATTGGGAATTATTTTTCTAATAAAATGATTCTTTACTATTAACTTCCTTTCTTGGCCTCTATTCTTGTCATATATTCTACTCTTCCTGCTTTTCCTCGTTACACATCCTTTCTCTCCTGCACATTCCATCACTCTTTTGGATGATTGACAGTTGCCTGCTTACTGCCAATGACATGGCTCTCACTGGAGCTGATCCCTTCCGGTTGTCATACCTTCTCTGGCCTGCACTCTTTTTCAGTGTGCACAGTCGGGTGGGGATGTGGTGCTGGGAAATGGTGGGTGAGCAGTATGTCCTGAAGGAAGTGACTGTGTGCTGTTTTGCAGTGCTTCATTTGGTAGAAGTAGTGACCCCACCAGTCCCTACATTTCAGCCAATCGCAATTCATCTTCTGCTACCTCACCCATTACCATTGGTTCATCTACCTCTCGGGGCTGTCAGGGGCAACCTGCCTCTTCGTGCCCTGCACCAATCAGTACAAACACTACTGCATCAGTACACCATGGCAGGTAAGGCTTTTTAGAGCCGTTTAAGTTGCGTTTGTCAAAGTTAATGCCTCTGGACACACAATATGAGATTTGAATCAGCGACTTTGTCACTCCAGAAGCAAGTCTGAGGTCCTGCCAAAATGTCTGTAGTTTAATGTAGATGTTTTGCTTTAACATCTGCTGGTCAACAGTTGCTCCTTAAATAATTTTAGAGTACGTATCTGTGTATTCAGTGTTTAAGCATCCACTTAACATAACTGCTTTCATCTCTCAAAAACACTTATCTTATTAGTCATGATTAAGATGTGAGGATCTTACCATTGTGGTAAATCAAATAATAGAAATATTTATTCCCATATTTCTCTTATATGAACTTTTCAATAAATTATTTGCAGTGATCTCATGGATTTCATCTTTTTCAGAAGATGGCATTCAAACCCAAAATATTTCTGAAGGAAACCTCTTGTTCTAAAAGCTTCTTGTAGCTTTCTGAAAATTCCCAGCCAAAGAGAGTATTTTAGTGGAAATACTTTGGGAGGAGAGATTTGTGTTTTATCTAAACATTGCCCTGAGGTCACTGTCTAGTTAACCAAACAGGTAAACCGGGCATAATGTTGTGGTGGGCATGCAGCAGGACTTTTGCTGTTATTTGTAATTCAATTTGAAAAGCAATTAAGAGACCTTTTGGCTTGTGAGTGTGACAAAGGGATTTTTTAATAGAGGTTCTTTTGTTTCTACAACTGAATTACAAAAATAATAAAGTAAAAAGAGGTACATGTTGCTACAAGAATACTCATGATGTGTTTGATTGATATTTGAAAGCTTAATAGATTTCTTTCCCTAACATAAACAAATATCATTCATAATAATAATAAAAATAGTGATAATAGTAATTAATAATAGTTTATTAATAATAGAAAACCCATTGCTACTGAATGTATTCCAACTCATAGTGAGCCTACTGGATAGAGTAGAACTGTCTCTGTAAATTTCCCAGGCTATAAATCTTTATGGAAGGAGAATGCCACATTTCTTTCCCCAGAGCCACTGGTGGGTTCAAACTACTGACCTTTCAGTTATCAGCCAAACATTTAACTAGCACCTCACCAGGAGTCCATGATGATTAATAATACCTTATAATTGTATTCAAATTTACTAGTTCCTTGTAGCAATCCTATTGCAACAAAGGGGTTTCAAAAAGTTAATGGAAAAACGTTGATGCCCTTTGTAGGCACTGTAGATGTTATCCTGGTGAATAAAGAAACTACAACTTGGGGAGAGTAATTGATTAGCTATGAGAGAGAGAAAACTTGGAGAAAAGTGAAGAGAAATCATGCCTTTACTAAGAATAGCCATTGCTTGTTGAATCTTATTATGTGCCAGGCTCGAGTTAGGTAATACACAAAAGTTTTCTTGAAATATGGTTCCATCATATGTAAAAATAAATCCAAATATACTAGGATCTGTATGTGACCTCCTCCCTGGGGGACGGACAACAGAAAAGTGGGTGAAGGGAGACGTCGGGCAGGGCAAGATATGACAAAATAATAATTTATAAATTATCA